GCAGCAGCAGCAGCAGAAGCAGGCCATGATATTCAAGCGAGAGAAATGGCGCAGCTCGCGCAGGTCGCTGACGCTATTGAATCTCTCCTGAGCGCCTCAGCCAAGCGGCGAAGGACGGAGCCCAGCAGCAGCAGCAGCAGCAACAGCAACAGCAGCAGCAGCAGCAGCGGCAGCAGTTGTATTCAAACAAACAACAAATCACAAGATGCTGATGCTGCTGCGTATGTAAACACAGGCTCTTCGCTGTGCAGCAGCACAGCAGCAGACGGCGAGCGCAGCAGCACGCTGCAGCCAGAAGCTCCTCAAGAGCAGCAGCAGCAGCAGCAGCAGCAGCAGCAGCCAGCAGCAGCAGCAGCAGCAGCAGGCAGCAGGCGCAGCAGCAGCAAGACGGAAGATGCAGGAGTGTCTCAATCTAAGGGGTCAGAGCTGCATGCAGCAGCAGAAGAGAGAAAAGAAAAGACAGAAGAAAGAATAAAGAGACGCAGCAGCAGCAGCAGCAGCAGCAGCAGCAGCTTTGTTGGAGCTGAAATAAAAAAGAAGACAAAGACAAACATACTGACGAACATTCTTCTTCTTGTGAAGAGGTAAGCCGCCTTTTCTCTCTTTCTACCCACTCTGCATGCAACTTAAAACCTCCTGCTGCTGCTGCTGCTGCTGCTGCTGCTGCTGCTGCTGCTGCTGGTGCTGCTGCTGCTGCAGCCACCAGAACACAAAGTATAGAGCAGGGAGGAGACGGCTGGAGGAGTGGTGCAGACGCAACGCCGGCAGTCTGTCTCCTGATCAATGCGCCTCAGCCACTTCCAACTACTTCTGTTCGTCTGCTTCTTGTCTTCTTTATTCTTTTCTTGTCTTCTTGTTTTGTTGTCTTGTCTTTTTGTTTTCTTGTCTTTTTTATTCTTGTGTTGTCTTCTTGTCTTCTTGTCTTGTCTTCTTTATTCTTGTCTTGTCTTTTTGTCTTGTCTTCTTTATTCTTGTCTTGTCTTCTTTTCTTGTCTTCTTGTCTTGTCTTTTTGTCTTCTTGTCTTGTCTTTTTGTCTTCTTGTCTTGTCTTCTTGTCTTCTTGTTTGTAGCTCTTGTATTCTTCTCTTCTTGTCTTGTCTT